TTCACAACAACTGATGAAAGCTCTAATCAACAGCCTTCATAATCAACATTAAGAGTTATAATCTGACGACTCTCACATATCAAAGAGCTAAAGCAAAGATTATAAAACAACAATCTTTGTAACGTTCTGACAGAAAGAGACTATAAATCGACGGTCTTTTCAAATCAAGATGCGTAAGTCCTGCCCGCGTACCAGCATCAAGACACACCGCGTTCACAGCCGCTGACACAGTGCAAACGCAACTCACATTCAGCTCCAAACGCTGCAAACGCAGCTCAGATCCAGCTGTCAACATAGCTCATGTTCGGACGCAAACCTAGCCTCCGAAAGCTACCAACGCAGCTTCCATCCGCTGCCAAACGCAGCTCTTAAATGCTGCCAAACTACTAAAAATGCAGCTTATGTTCGACCGCAAACGCAGCTTCCAATTGCTACAAATGAGCTTTCAGACGCTGCGTCCGAGCTTCCAGATGCTGCGTCCGAGCTTCCAGACGCTGCGTTTGAACGCAGAATTCACGACAGAATGCGGATTTTGCGTTTGACTGGTTCAAACACAAACAGTTTCAAAACCGTTTCCCACGATCTGAGGGGATCACAACTCCACTCAGGAGTGATTTAAGGGGCGGTTATATCCCATAAGCCCCATTTAGAAGCGAATTAAGGGGGCAGTTACACCCCTTAATCCCCTATAAATAACTAAGTAATCAGCTTAGTTCGGATCCTTCTCCTGGGCAGAAAAGAAGAGATCATTGGATGGCTTTTGAGGGGGAAATCTTTTGGATCTTTGAGTATTTTAGAGATCTAGAGATCAACTTCTTCGTATCATCTTCTCGGCAACAGATTCCTAGGGCTATCTTCGTGCTTGGCTTGTCTAACCAATTACGGTTAATATTGATGCGGCATAATTATGTACCAAAATTGTAAGTGCACAATTGATCAAGTTATAGTATAAAAGTTATCGATCCCACGAGGAAGGTGATTTTAAGAGATTTCCTTCGAACTCCACCTCGGAGAGCAATCGGGCTGCAGGCATGGAGCAGTCTAGGGTTTCGATGGAAGGGCGAGAGAGAGGAGTAAAGGGGGAGGCCGAAACCGAGAGAAGAGAAGGGGAGAGAGGAGATATACCTGCGATGGATCAAGATCGAGATCGAAATCGAGATCGAGCTTTGAGATCGAGATCGAGATCGTCGGGACTTCGACACGAGCGTGAGAGAGAAGAAAAAGAGGAGTCGGGGTTTTGAGGGGTTGGATTTCGTGGGGGTGCGGATTTAACAAATACCAAGTACTGTGTTGAAATTTGAAATCCATACTTTTTGGGCTTTTCAAATCCATTGGATAAAATGACTTGATTTAAAATCATGGCCTAAAGTTGAACCCAAACATGAAATTTGGATTTGAAATACCCAGAATTTCAAATCCAAGCCCAAATCAGCATTCCCAAACACAGCCTATAAGTCTTTTTGGTACCCAAATCATTTTGGTACCACTAGAATCCCACGAGGAAGGTGATTTTAAGAGATTATTAGAATAGGTTCTTATGTTGTGTGCGTGATAATTAGGAGTAAAGAATAAGTGTGATTGTGATGAGTGATTGTTGTGAATATATGTAAGAGACAATAAATTGCATTTTAGAGGAGAGAAGAAAGAATTAAAGAATAAATGAAATCACAAGGCAAGAAAGAAGAATGAATAAAATCAAGAAATAAAACCAAGAATGAAAAGAAAATTTAAGAAAGTTAAGATGGAGGATTTAAAAGAGGTAAGAAATCTAGAATGTAATCCACTAGCTAATTTCAATTACAAAATATAAACTATTCTCTTTTTATCATAATTCAACTTAGATTTATTAAGCATAGACTATCAAACCATTTAAGAAAAGTATAACCTATCAAATTATCATCTAAGTCAAAATTACTATTCATGATAAGAACAACAATAAGATAATAATCCTAGAATTCATAAGCATAACCTATCAAACCATTTAAGATAAGTATAGATTATCAAATTCTTCTTCTACAGATTAGTTCTCTAGTTGATTATCCTAAACATAAACATTTTAAGTGAAAGAGAATAATTCATACAATATAAAAAAAATTAGACTAGTTTTATGTAATTCTAAGATTCCTACAAGAATTAATTTCACATCTTAAGAAATAAAAACAAGAAGAAAAGAACTAATTACAAAAATAAAAGGAAAAGAAAAATCTAAACTATGAACAAGAAATAAATCTAACTACAAAGAATAAAAATCTAAACTATAAAATAAATTGCAGAAATTAAATGCAAGAAAATAAATCTACTCTACAAATTTAAGTGCAAAAAGAAATAAAAAAGACAAGAAAATAAATCTACACTACAAGCATGAATGTAAATCTAACTAATAAGCAATAATAAAAAAATTACAAAAAAGAAATAAAAGAGGAAAATAAAAGAAATGTAAACCTTCAAATTGCTCTTCATCTCCATCTTCATCATTCAACAAAGAGGAGAAAAGAAAATTTAAAGAGGAGAAAAATTATTATTATTAATTGCAACAAAAGTTACAATTTTTAGAATGCCTTCTCAATTAAGAGTAGCCCTCCTCTCCAAATAGAGTTACAAAATTTTTTACACCCTCAACCCCTCACTCTATACCCCTATTTATAGTAAACATCAGTGAATGAGAGTCATTGGATCGAAATCTTATTCAAAAACATCAATTTTTAGCCTTTGATTCGTAACAAACTGCCTAGTGTATCGATACCAGCATCGATAGGGGTATCGATGCTGGCATCGATACATGCATCAATGCGGGCATCGATGCCCGCATCGATGCAGACATCGATGTCTGCCTCTGTCTGGTTGCTGTCCGAACTTGTTTCTTCTTGTGGGCTTTGGGCTTGGACAAATCTTTGATTTCTTCATTTATTTGATTTGGGCTTTGGGTTTTGGGCTTTTGGATAATTTGACAATTGATTTT